AGAATATGAATCCTTGCAGTCACGAAAGCTTCAAATCTAGAAGCCTGTTAAGGTTATGCGTGTTAATGCGTGTAGGTACGCGTGTGTCTGTGTGCATCTCGATGTGTGTGCATCAGTGTGCGCGTGTCACCTTGGTTGTATCCGTGCGTCTGAATGCCAATGCGTGTGTGCGCGTCAACGCGTGGGTCACCATGGCTATATGTGTGTGAAAATCAGATTATGTAATCATCTTTGTCGGTGTCTCAATGAGAGAATGTCATTGTGCATGTTCGTGTCGCGATGCATGCGCATCTGTGTCGGCGTATGTGCGTGCATGTGTTAGCCGGTGCCGTGCCGACCTTCATCGGTTCTCACGAACTGCACTTGCCCCAAAATTATGTGAAGGCTATATGGGAGAGCTTTGTCTTTGTAGTGTAAGGAGTGGTGGCTCAGTGGTTAGCGCAATGCTCGACGAATCCGGCCATCCGTTCCACTCTCACTCACGACCAATTACATTGGCTGGGAATAATGTAGCCTGTCCTGTGCCTCCTCTAGGTCGACTCAGTCTTGAAGGAGTACGTGGTGCGGTTTGTTAACATCACCGCTGGTGCTGACCACGTTCCCACACGCGTGCCGTGCCGGTCCTCATAGGTGCTTGCGAACAGCACTTGCCCAAACAGACTGTTCAAGGCTACGTGGGGGATATTCGTATTTGTGTGTACGCGTGTGAATGTCAATGCGTGCGCAGTGGACCCGGCAACCTGGATTTTAATTTCCGTGTACGGGCAAACAACAGTTGTGACATCTGGGCCGGGTTCTGGGCTCCCCCCTAGGTCAGGGGTCGGAAACTAAAATAACAAGAAGAGCCATTTGTCGAATTTGGTAACAAAATACATCGACATTTTAAGAGCCGCCAATGCACTGTGTGGTACGAGACGGTTGACCTCAATATATAATGTCATGGAGCGGTCCTTCAAGAGCCGCATGCGGCTCTGGAGCCTCAGTTTGCCGACCCCTACACGAGGTCGAATACCTGGTGCGGTGTGTAAACATCAGCACTGGGGAGACAAAGACGGTTGGGCTCCGTATGCGCGCAGCCCTTCCCCCCACGCCATGTCTGGCTCTTGGAGGTTATCCGACCATACTCGCCCCGTGTCGCCCCACCAATGTCCACTCGTGGTTGCGCCCATGTGCCCGCATCTGTCGGGGTGTCTGTGCCTGTGAATAGCGGCGTCTCCGACTCTCATTCCACTGCGTCTCGTGTGCTCGTCTTCAAGAGTCTGGCACCAATCCGCTCCGTCTTTGTCTCTCCAAGCAACGAGTTGCCGCCGTCTCCGATGCACAAACCTCGTGCGGTCAGCCAGCGCCGCGGTGGCCAGGAGATGTTAACTACCTCGCCTGGTGCACAGGAGGTCGTGGGTTCGATCGCGACCCTGACACCTGCTGCTGTCTATTTGGAGTCTGCGTATCTCTCTCTCTCTCATCATCACGGTAGCTAGGAGATGTTAACTACCTCGCCTGGTACACAGAAGGTCGTGGGTTCGATCGTGACCCTGACACCTGCTGTATATTTGGAGTCTGCGTGTCTCTCTCTCCCCGTGGTCGCGTGGATTTTTCTCCGGGCCCACCGAGTTTCCCCTCCACATTCGGAATCAACATCACGCGTTTAAAGTATTTGTCTGCTATAAATGTCCACGTGATAAGCCACTTCGTTGAGCTATCGTTTGTGGCCAGGTCGCTTCTGAAATAGAGCTATACAGCTCAGTGGGCCTCACCTGGTAAAATAAATAGTTAGTTAGTTAAATATTGCCGAGGTCTCCGAGCCACGCAGAACCTGGACCCGGTTATTGGCGGAAAATGCTCCTCGAGTCTGAGCCAGTTTCGCAATCGACTTAACGTAACGTTGTTGTTGTTACTCCAAAGAGCATGCAGGGTTCTCCAAACTCGACCCGCCCCCACCTACCCCGGATGACGCTCAGTTATCTTTTCACGTCCCCCATCCGCCCCCAATGCATTTCACCCAAATCAAAATGCGCAAATTAACTCCATCCACGCCCGACGGTCGTCAAAACGCGGACCCGCTTGTCGCGCCGAGTAATTCCCGCCGCCGTGCAGTGAATGGAACCGATGCGGAGTGAGCTGTCGGTGTGGCGAGCGCGTCCCACGCGTGCCCCGACGCGTGCAGCGTCAATTGCTTGGCGCGTCACGTTTACAATAATCGGGCGCGTGCAGCGTGGGCCGCGTTAATTTGTATTCGAACGGCGAAGAGTAAAAAAATGATCAATGAGGCTAAGACGCTGCGTGGTTAGTGGTGGGCCTCGCGTGCTGGAGTTTGGGGGGAACTGATGGTTTACTCTGGTCACCATCAGCTCCGGCGCCTACGCGATGGGCTTTGATTCTTAATGGCCCGAGATAACAAAGTGCCCGGACTCTCTGGAGTCTCTATGTGCTACGCAGATGGGGCCGTTGCCCGACGCGAGATTGTGGTGTAATTTGACGAGGTGAGAACTCGGGAAGAGTCCCGGATGGGTCTCAAATGACAGGGCCAAATCGACTGCTGCGTCCTCATCACCACCATCACCACCACCACCACCACCACCACGCGAGAAACCGATCTCACACAAACACACAAATCAACGTTAACTAGCGAACTCCCCGTAACGTGAGCCGCTTCGAGCAGATTGTGTTCATAGCGATGACAACACAATTACAACAATGAGTTACACAAACGTTAAACAGACACGGTGTGACTATTGTATATAAATGTATAAACACACGAGGATACATGTCGCCTATTATATATTTTCTTCTATTTTTAAGGCCACGGTGACATTGACGAATGTGCTGAGCTTTTGCCGATTTATATTCCAGTGCATATAGCAGCAGCAACAGCAGCAGCAATAATACCATGTTCTGCAGCGAGTTGCCATTGTCGAGGTCTGCTGGCCACGACGAGGTTTAAGTTCGTGTGGTGTTGCTGTTCCTCCTCTGTTGAAGCAGCGCGGTGGTTTACTCTGTGGGTCAGGGTTTGGGTTGCATGTCCACAATATCGCTACTGTTGATTTTCTTTAATGCATCTCTATGTCTCTTCGTGTCTCTATAGGTATCCTTGTATCTCTATTAACCTCTATTCATAGTTATGCATCTCTATGGGTTTGCTATATGGTCAACATTTGGGTTGTATGGCCACAATTGCACTACTATGGCTTGTCTAGAGGTCTCTATGTGTCTCTATGGGTTTAGTATATGGTCTATAGTTTGGGTTGCGTGTCCACAGTCGCGCTACTGTGGCTTGTGTCTTTAATTTTCCATTCATCAAGGAAATGTGCTCATCGGCCTGTTGATGTCCTGATGCAGTTGATGATGGTTCGTGTGTATGGATGGATGTTGAATTTATTTCGCTCCGCACGTAGCCACCCGTGCTCATCCTTGAGAGGGAGGGGGGAGGATGGAGGAGGAGCCGAGAGGAGTGGAGGCGAGTGAAGTGAGGCAAGATGAGCGTGAGGTGGCGATGTTCGGCTAAGTATCACACATATCACCCACACGCACATCTCTCACGGGCACACAAATACAGAGATCCCCGTATAACTTTGGACGGACTGTTGGGGCAGGTGCTATTAGCGAGCACCTATAAAAGGCCGGCACGGCAGTGGGTGGCCAGCACGACGCCCGACCGCCTTTGTCTCCCGAGGGGCGATGTTTACTACACACCGCAGTTAATCGTCACTGGGTGTTGGCCGTGAGTGGGTATCGAATTCTGAATGCCAGTGCGCTAACCACTACTCGGCCGCTCCCCGCAGACACACACACAACCTCGCGCATAGACACATCGATCGTACGACTGCCTAAGTCACCACTAAGGAGTGGTGACGTCACCACGGCGTTTGTGCCAGGCTAGGTGTACCTTGAGGTCACGTAAAATGTCTACGGTTCTCTGGCAGGTGTTATGGGTTGACTCAGATCACTGGCAGACAGAATATCGGAATCAGAATATTCATTCATATTGTAGGAACCCGATGAGCTGTAAATCTCTTTTTCACAGATGTCGAGTAGATGCCCAGACAGTGGGTGAGTGAGTGGGTGGGTGAGTGGCTGAGTCGGTGAGAGGGGCTGGGTGAGTGGCTGAGTGTGTGGGTGAGTGAGTGGGTGAGTGGCTGAGTGGGTGAGAGGGGCAGGATGAGTAGGTGAGTGGGTGAGTGGCTGAGTGGGTGGGTGAGTGGGTGAGTGAGTGGATGAGAAAGTGCCTGGGTGGGTGAGTGGTGGGTGAGTGGGTGAGAGTGTGGGGTAGGTGGGAGATGAAATCGGCCCCACCCCTTCGCATTACTCCCCAATGTGCGATGTTTTCTGAGTCTCGAGCTCTCGTCTCGAGGTGGCGCCAGTACGCGCACGAATTTTACCACCGATGCAAAGACAAACATCAACCTCCCGTATCGCCTTCAACAGACTACTGGGGAAAGTGCTGTTAGCGAGCACCTGTTACACGTGGGAACGGCACACAAGGGGGTTTGGGTGGCCGAAGCACCACACCCGACCGCCTTTGTTTCACGCTCGTGGAAATGTTTTCACGCCGCAGTAGGTGCTCATTTGAGGCTGAGTCTACCTAGGTGAGGCCCAGGACCGATTCATATATTCGTCACTGATGTTGACCGTGAGCGGCAATCGAACTCGGGTAGCTGGGTTCGTAGTTCAGTGCGCTAACCACTGCACCATCGCTCCCCTCCCCCCGTACACAGATATAGAAAACAGAGTGTTGGGACAAGTGCTGTTAGCGAGCACCTATGAAGGCCGGCACACGAGGGGGTGGGTGGCCAACACCACGCCCGGCCGCCTTCGTATCCCGAGCGACACGCGCAAACGCGCGCGCGGCCTCCGCCCGCATTACGAGAGGCAGCGGCCGTGTTGAGCAATCATCCGGCGCGTGCTGCGCGTCATTCTCGGCTGAGCGATTTACACGCGCGATCCCAGCCCCCTCGCACTCCCCCGCCGGTCCCATCCGAAATGGAATGTCCCGACGACGACGCCGACGATCCTCCGACTCGAGGAGGCGCGAGTCGGAGGAGGAGCGGAACGGAGCGGCTGCTACGGCGGCTGCTGCCACTCCAGCAGCGGACTCGGGGCACAGAGGGGAGCTCACACTCACGTGAGGCTTCACACACACACGTGTGTACACACACACACGTGTACACACACACTCACGTGTACACACACTCACATGTACACACACACTCACGTGTACACACACACGTGTACACACTCACGTGAGGCTTCACACACACACACACGTGTACACACTCACGTGTACACACACACGTGAGGCTTCACACACACACACGTGCACACACACACACGTGTACACACACTCACATGTACACACACACACGTGTACACACTCACATGTACACACACACGTGAGGCTTCACACACACACACACGTGAACACACACACGTGTACACACACACACACACGTGAGGCTTCACACACGTGTACACGCACACACTCACGTGTACACACTCACGTGTACACACACTCACGTGTAGACACACACACGTGTACACACATACGTGTACACACACGTGAGGCTTCACACACGTGTACACACTCACGTGTACACACACACACTCACGTGTACACACACTCAAGTGTACACACAAATGCATACACACATCAAAACAAAGATTCCCCCGTATAGCCTTCAGCAGACTGTGGGGGCAAGTGCTGTTAGCGAGCACCTATGGAGCCAGGCAAGGCACACAAGGGGAGTGGGTGGTACTGATTTGAGGCTGAGCCGACCTAGGCGAGGCCCAGGACCGGTTCACATATTGGTCACTGATGTTGCCCGTGAGCGTGAATTGAACCCGGGGCGCCAGGTTTGAAGCGCAGCGCGATACATACAAAGACACAGTTCCCCCATATAGACTTTAACAGACTGTTAGGGCAAGTGCTGTTAGCGAACGCCTATGAAGGTTCCATCGCACGCACGAGAACAGACACACACACACAGCCTCCCTGCCTCCACGCTGTCCCTCTCGCACACTGTCACGCACACACACACACACAGCTTGCCACGGTCTCACACTGTCACACACACACATAGCTTACCACAGTCTCACACTGTCACACACACACACAAAGCTTACCACAGTCACACTGTCACGCACACACACACTACAGTCTCACACCGCCACACTCACCCACTCACCCACTCACCCACTCTCCCACTCTCTCTCACAACAAAGACAAAGACAAAGATCCCCTGTATAGCCTTAACAGACTGTAGGGGCAAGTGCTGTTAGCGAGCACCTATGAAGGCCGGAACGGTACACGAGGGGGTGGGTGGCCAGCACCACACCCGACCGCCTTTGTCTCACTCATTCTCACACACTCTCACACACTCACTCTCACACACACACTCTCACACACTCTCACACACACACTCACTCTCGCACTGCCACATACTCACACACACACTCTGTTACACAGTCTTCCTCTCGCGCATACACGCGCACACGCCCCTTGCCATTCTCTCGCTCTCACACACACGGGCACCCTCCACTTTCCCTTCCTCACACACGCACACGCGCTCCCTCTTCCCATCTCCCTGTGGCCCAGATGAGAGGCGGCGCCGTCGTGGGAACCAACGCGGTCTCTCCCCGTGGAGAGTTCCCCCAACGCGGTCTCTCTCCAGCCGAGCGTGTGTGAGTGTGTGAGAGTGTGTTGAGAGTGGGAGAGTGAGTGTGAGAGTGAGTGTGTGTGTGAGAGTGTGTGAGAGTGTGTTGAGAGTGGGAGAGTGAGTGTGAGAGTGAGTGTGTGTGTGAGAGTGTGTGAGAGTGTGTTGAGAGTGGGAGAGTGAGTGTGAGAGTGAGTGTGTATGAGTGTGCGTGTGAGAGAGTTAGTGTGTGTGAGTGTGCGTGTGAGAGAGTGAGTGTGTGTGTAAGAGTGAGTGTGTGAGAGTGTGTGTGAGAGAGTGAGTGTGTGAGAGAGTGTGTGTGTGTGAGAGTGAGATAGTGTGTGTGTGTAAGAGTGAGTGTGTGTGTGAGAGTGTGTGTAAGAGTGAGTGTGTGTGTGAGAGTAAGTGTGTGTGAGAGAGTGTGTGAGAGTGAGAGAGTGTGAGAGTGAGTGTGTGTGAGAGTGAGAGAGTGTGCGTATGAGAATCGAACCGTTCCTGTGCCTCCCCTAGGTAGACTCAGCCTTCAATGAGTACCTGAGTGCGGTGTGTAAACATCAGCACCGGGGAGACAAAGGTGGCCGGGCGTCGCTCTGGCCACTCCACCCCGTCATGCGCCGTTCCGACCTTCATAGGCGCTACTCGCGAACAGCACTTGCCCCGACAGTCTGTTCAGGCTACATGGGACATCTTTGTCTTCATCACATGCACGTAGAGACGTGAACGGACTCTGGGGAGCGGTGGCGTAGCGGACTGCGCACTGCACTACGGACCTGGCGCCCCTAGTTCGTTTCCCGTGACGATTATCTGAACCGGCCCTGGGCTTCCCCTAGGTCGACTCAGCCTCACATGAGTACCTGGTGTGGTGTGTAAACATCGCCACGAGGGAGACAAAGGCAGCCGGGCGTGGTGCTGGCCACCCACCCCATCGTGTGTCGTGTTGACCGTCATAGGTGCTCGCTAACAGCACTTGCCCCAACATTTTGTTACAGCCTATACGGGGGGTCTTTGTCTTTGCACCAGCTCCCTACTTTCGTTCTGCTCTCTCTCTCAATCGCAGACTCTTCGTCGTCTCTCCGCTATTGATGCCTCCGCACTCTCTCGCCCCCTCCCCTCGAACGGCTGCACCCTCTCCCTCCCTGTCTCCCCTCTCTATTTTTCTACTTTCGCTTCTCCTCTCCTGCATCCCATTGATCGCCTCCCTCTCATTTTCTCGCTACGCTCTAGACTCCCTCTCTCCCTCCCCCTCCTCCTTCCATCACCCTCCCTGTCCACCTCCCACCTCTCCCTCCCCTCCCCACTCTCTCTCTCATTCCTCCACTCTCCGCTGACTCCCCGCCGTCTCCTCTCTCTGCTCTAATTCTCCCCGCTCCCTCCCTTTCGCTCTCCCGCTCTGCCCGTGGCCGCTCGCAGCACCGGTAGAGGAGCTCGCAGACTCGCGGAGCAGCGGCAGGCGGGAAGCGGAGACGACGACATGGAGCCCGGGGCTCGCACCGCCAAAGTTCGATACCGAGACGTGGGGAGACGAGGCGCGCTGGCCGCCGGCTGGTACGGAGACACGGAGAGACACTTGAAGACACGGGGGGGGGGACACGGAGGGACACGGGGGACACGGAGAGACACTTGAAGACACGGGGGGGGGGGCACGGGGGGACACGGGGGACACGGAGAGACACTTGAAGACACGGGGGGGGGGGCATGGGAACGGAGGGACACGGGGACACGGAGAGACACTTGAAGACACGGGGGGGGGGGACACGGGGGGACACGGAGATACACTTGAAGACACGGGGGGGGGGGACACGGAGGGACACGGGGGACACGGAGAGACACTTGAAGACACCGGGTGGGGACACGGGGGACACGGAGAGACACTTGAAGACACGGGGGGGGGGGACACGGAGGGACGCGGGGGACACGGAGAGACACTTGAAGACACGGGGGGGGACACGGGGGGACACGGAGAGACACTTGAAGACACGGGGGGGGGGGGGACACGGGGGACACGGAGAGACACTTGAAGACACGGGGGGGGGGGGTGGGAACGGAGGGACACGGGGGACACGGAGAGACACTTGAAGACACGGGGGGGGGGGACACGGAGAGACACTTGAAGACACGGGGGGGGGGGACACGGAGGGACGCGGGGGACACGGAGAGACACTTGAAGACACGGGGGGGGGGACACGGGGGGACACGGAGAGACACTTGAAGACACGGGGGGGGGGGACACGGAGGGACACGGGGGACACGGAGAGACACTTGAAGACACGGGGGGGGGGGGCACAGAGGGACACGGGGGACACGGAGAGACACTTGAAGACACGGGGGGGGGGGGGGGATGGGAACGGAGGGATACGGGGGACACGGAGAGACACTTGAAGACACGGGGGGGGGGGGGGACACGGGGGGACACGGAGAGACACTTGAAGACACGGGGGGGGGGGACACGGAGGGACACGGGGGGACACGGAGAGACACTTGAAGACACGGGGGGGGGGGGGGACACGGAGAGACACTTGAAGACACGGGGGGGATGGGAACGGAGGGACACGGGGGACACGGAGAGACACTTGAAGACACGGGGGGGGGGACACGGGGGGACACTTGAAGACACGGGGGGGGGGGGCACGGAGGGACACGGGGGACACGGGGAGACACTTGAAGACACGGGGGGGGGGACACGGGGGGACACGGGGGACACGGAGAGACACTTGAAGACACGGGGGGGGGGGCACAGAGGGACACGGGGGACACGGAGAGACACTTGAAGACACGGGGGGGGGGGGGGATGGGAACGGAGGGATACGGGGGACACGGAGAGACACTTGAAGACACGGGGGGGGGGGACACGGGGGGACACGGAGAGACACTTGAAGACACGGGGGGGGGGGACACGGAGGGACACGGGGGGACACGGAGAGACACTTGAAGACACGGGGGGGGGGGGGGGGACACGGAGAGACACTTGAAGACACGGGGGGGGATGGGAACGGAGGGACACGGGGGACACGGAGAGACACTTGAAGACACGGGGGGGGGACACGGGGGACACTTGAAGACACGGGGGGGGGGGGCACGGAGGGACACGGGGGACACGGAGAGACACTTGAAGACACGGGGAGGGACATGGGGGGACACGGGGGACACGGAGAGACACTTGAAGACACGGGGGGGGGGACACGGAGGGACACGGGGGACACGGAGAGACACTTGAAGACACGGGGGGGGGACACGGGGGGACACTTGAAGACACGGGGGGGCGGGGGGACACGGAGAGACATGGGGGGACACGGAGAGACACTTGAACACACGGGGGACCCGGCGGGTCACGGAAGGCACGTCGAGACACGGGAAGGACACGGGACATGGAGATACATGCGGGACATGGGGAGATGCGGGGAGACACTCGTAGACACAAAGCAAGACAGACACCTATACATCGCCAGCAGCCGTGCCCAAGGCACTGCTGGGTGAAGCGCTCGAGCCTCTCGCAGCCGCCACCGCCCGTGGACTCGCCACGAGCAGCACGAGGGGTGAGGCTGCAGCAGCAATGCATCGGAGATGGTGGTGGTGGTTGTGGTGGTCGTGGTGGTGCTGGTCGTGGTGGTGGTTATTGTAGGGGGCGGTAGTGTAGCGGTGAGCGCGCTGCGCTACGAACCCGGCAACCCGAGTTCGATTCCCGCTCACGGTCAACACCAGTGAACCCGGTCCTAGGCCTCCTCCCCTAGGTCGACTCAGCCTCAAATGAGTACATGGTGCGGTGTGTAAATATCGCCACTCGGGAGACAAAAGCGGTCGGGCGTGGTGCTGACCACTCACACCCCTCGTGTGCCGTGCCGGCCTTCATAGGTGCTCGCTAACAGCACTTGCCCCAATAGTCTGTTAAGACTATACGGAAAGCTTTGTCTTTGGTGGTTGTGGTTTCGGTGGTTTCGGTGGTTGTGGTTGTGGTGGTGATGGTGACTGTGTGGCAGTGTAGTGTGTTCATGATGAAGATGTTCATTATCATGATAGTGGTGAGGTATTAATCACTCTGATGGTCGAGGTAGCGGTGATACATTGGTCAGGACGAGGACGGTGAAATCTCCCATCGTTTTGGCATGTAGACTGTTGGAGCAAGTGCTGTTAGCGAACACCTATTGAGTCTCATCTTCCTCACCTCCCCGACTGTGGCTTTAGGTCTTCTCCTCCACCTTCGGTCGCCCACCTCTGGGTGCCACTGCAGTCTTGGTCACCCGCCCTCCACCACCCCACAGACCGCGTGTCCCACCCATCACGACCTCCTCTTGCTCCTGTCCCCAACCTCCAAGTCGCTTACCCCATCCTCCTCCACCGTACACACCGCGTGTCCCACCCATCACTACCTCCTCCGGTGACGCAGCGCAAGTGGGAGCACGTTCGGCGCTGGCCGCAGATGTTCACGGTTTTAATTGCCGGCAGTCGCCCCGGCAAACACTGCGTTGTCTGTTGTGCGTCGACCTGAAACAAGCTACCACAAGCCATCAGCTTCACTCACACCTGACGTCCCAGATCTCGTGTGAGAGGTCATTCGCAACAAGTCGGCCGTTGAGGGCGGGCATCACGGTCGACATTTGCCAATGCTTTGTGCCGGTTCTCCACCAGAGCTCGCCTCACTTTCCCTCGCCTTGCACTGAACGCTCACGGTAGAACCCGACGCAGCAGCAGCAGCGTCACTCAAAATCTGCTTCGGACACCAAAGGGGGCCGCGAACTGTTACAGCCTCACGTCACTATACATTTCACTACACACTCCTATACACTACACTATACACTACTATACACTTATACACTACACCATACAACTAATATACACTACACTATACACTGCACTACTATGCACCACACTACTATACACTAAACTTCATTATACACTACACTATTATACAATATACTATACCTAATATACACTATACACTACACTATACACGACACTATACACGACACTACACTGTTACAGCCTCACGTCGGATCTCTGCTGTCGCCCCCTCCGTGTGGAACTCTCTAATCCCTTTGCACATCGGCAACTTCAAATGCACTCTGACTTTTAAGAAGCGTCTCAAGGCCTCTCTGTCTGTCTGGGTCAACATTTCGAGCAGCTCTAAGCTTGGCTCCGCGCCCCTGAGTTGTTGACTTGTCTGCAACATCTGTCGTGATATGAATGTCATCATCATTATAATTGCCAATTCTCTCTGTCCTGGCGTTTCTTCTCCTCCTCGCCGCTGTCTTCCGCCTTTGTCCAATCCACACTCCAGCACCTCCTGGATCACTCACCAGGCTCATTGTTGAACAAACCGAATCCAGCTGCAGTGTGCACGATGTTGGCAGTCGCCTTCTCACTCGGGTCTCTGTTGGTCCCTATGGGTGTCAAGGGGGTCTTTGTTGCGGCTCAATGAGTCTATATGGATCTCCGTGCACTCTCAATGGAACCACCCTATGAGTGTATACATGGGTGTCTGTAATAATGTGCAGTGTCACATCTTGAGTACCTTCGTCGTTCATGCAAATGTAATCTCTCGCACGTGAGTCAGAAGGTGCTGCTACGTCACCTGCGATTGGCTGGCTATGTACGGCGAGAAAGAAGTGCAACATACATTTATACATTTGATGTTTGGCCAATAATGAGAGTTGCTTCTTGTGAAGTTATGTGAGTCTGTGGGTCTCTAGGTGAGTCTGTGGGTCTCCGTATGAGACTATGGGTCTCTATTATGGAAGGCTATGGCTATCTACAGTGAGGGGAAAAAGTATTTGATCCCCTGCTGATTTTGTACGTTTGCCCACAGACAAAGAAATGATCAGTCTATAATTTTAATGGTAGGTTTATTTGAACAGTGAGAGACAGAATAACAACAACAAAATCAAGAAAAATGCATGTCAAAAATGTTATAAATTGATTTGCATTTTAATGAGGGAAATTAGTATTTTACCCCCTCTCAATCAGAAAGATGTCTGGCTCCTAGGTGTCTTTTATACAGGTAACGAGCTGAGATTAGGAGCACACTCTTAAAGGGAGTGCTCCTAATCTCAACCTGTTACCTGTATAAAAGACACCTGTTCACAGAAGCAATCAATTAATTAGATTCCAAACTCTCCACCATGGCCAAGATAGAGCTCTCCAAGGATGTCAGGGACAAGATTGTAGACCTATACAAAGCTGGAATGGGCTACAAGACCATCGCCAAGCAGCTTGGTGAGAAGGTGACAACAGTTGGTGCGATTATTCGCAAATGAAAGAAACACAAAAGAACTGTCAATTTTTCTCTTCTTGGTTCTTTCGGTAAAGTCACGTAGAAGGGAAGTAATAAAATAATGAAAATAAAACATAATAAAACAATTCTCACGACGTTTCGGCCACAACGCAAGCAGCCGTCCTCAGGTGAAAACCAGGTCCGTCGAGGCGACAGAGTCTGAATGAAACAGCACACGAGCTTGGAGCATATATATAAGCTGGGCGCATTGACAAAGGAATTTGCATATCAAAAGGAATTTAGCATATTTATGGGAAATGCAGGAATGTGATTAGTACTG